ATGCCTTTCACATACTTTTATAATTGATGAATCAAAGTAATATACTTTTAATCTTCATTCAAAAACATTCATCTAAAATGTGTACGTAGGAAGTATTTTTGTGAAAGGGAAGGCCATAAAGTACTGTACTTCCTTTGTAATCTCAGATTAGTCATGCTACTGTAACATTTATGTTCTCAAAACCTGTGTACTGTATTATCATTTTTCAGGTTACAACTTTAGTTTGACTAAAAAGAAAAATAAATTCACAAATGTTTTATTGCACAGAACTTATAAGTTCACAAAATGTTGAGTATTTACTAAAAATTAAGAAGAGTTGAAAACAGTAAAAATCATACTATGTAACCAACTCCAGAAACCACCTGTTGGTGTTTAATGATCTTTTGCACATGTTGGTTCATAAAGACTGGACAAGTTTCACAAAGGTTCAATAATATTTGCATAGGCAGTTATATTCCTGTATTAGTTAATTCTGTTTCAAAGTCATCAGACATCATGTCAGTAAGAACTGCATGTTTACAATTCAGAAATATTCAAGAAACACAATTAGGTGTTTATCATGTTTCAAAATTAGCAAAGCTTTTCAATAAAAAAGAAATATTTTAAGTAAATTGGCCAAGGGTTTCTTATTTTCAACAATAATGCTTACTTACAACGAATAAAGAAATAGCGGTACTGTTCTGTTATCAGGATCGGGTTCAGAAATGTATGAATGCGTTTATGTGTTCATTGTATGCATAAGTACAAATATAAGTGTGCATACAAATACACATATAAGCACATACATACCAACACACATCCATACATTTCTGAATCCAGTCCCTTGATAATAGAACAGTACCAAAATAAGTGTTACTGCTTTTGCTCAGTATCCGAGGAAGCATATTCTTTGGATGTACAAATTGTAAACTTTTCTATACTTTACTTTTTATAGCTAATAATTAAAGCTTTTCCTTCAGATTTTCAATTTTTCTTTTTCGGTTATAATTAAAAACAGATTTCAATAGCAGTAAACTGAAAATAAAAGAAGTGACGTAGTGCTGTTTACAATAATGTAAAAATAAAGCAGTAATTTGAAAATACAGAACTATGGATTTTTACTTGACTCTTAATCTATACAACCTCCTCATGGTAATGGTAAAAAGCATGGAAAAAAAAAAGAGGGGAATGAGACTGTAAGCTGTCAAACTATTGGGGTTATAGAAAAGTATAGTTAGTTTTTTTGCTATTGCTTGGGCCTTCAGCCCATTTTAGGATCAATATAGAGATCAAACCTCACTACTGCATCACATAACAACTAATTCGTTGGAAATTTGAATCATTAGATATGTTTTGTATTTCTAATGCAAATCACAGTACAGATATTTATAGGACATTCAGTACGATTTGAGGTACATTATGAATGCAGGTGCTACCAGGATAAAAAATATTTATCTTTTCTGCTATGCTGATGACCACTACACATTTTAAGAATAATATCAACATGGTAGTTACAGATATGACACTGTTTGACTTTTGTTTTTACGTATCAGAGATTAGCAAATAAGGCATAGTTTGAAATTATTATACACACAATGTGATTTCAAAAAATTAAATTAGTAATTATTAAAAAGACACACAAATTCTGTTCAGATGACAATTATGTTTCAAAAGCAAAACAAAGTGAGTTGCTTATTACGTGAGTAAATTATGAATTCCGAGTCTCATTTTGGGCATGCTTGATCTGTACATAAAGTATATGGCATATAATTATAAAAAAATAACTTCTAAGAAAGAGTATATTTTTAATTTGTTTTAAGAATATGTTCTGAAAATTATTCAGATTTTTGAAGTTTTCAAAAAACAACACTTTTTTTTCACTTTCATACAACATATAAATTGCTATTTCAGTGTCTATGAAGTATCAGACTTTCAATACTCAGCTACATAAATTTCTATCCATAAAAATTGTTTTCTTACTTTTTTATTAGCAACTAATAACAGATTTTATTTTAGATATAAAAAATGCACTCAGAAATATATGTTCTGCTTTACCACTCAGAAATAATACTTGAGCGAATTTTGTGGCACGGGCTATACTTTCACATTATTTTTAGTTTGTTAACTTTCTTTAGAATATGGTCACTTTTATCTGGTTGCATGTGTAGTTTCCCTTTTATTTTTTGTTTATTATCTCTGTCTTTAAAATATATTGAACTCGTATTCTCTACATTGATTATATATTCTTTATGAAAATGAATATTTAGACAAAATAATGCTTAAGACAATTAACATTATATAACATTACAGAACTAATTCTAGAATGGCTACTATGCGGAAGGCTATCAAACGCTGCATTTTTAAAGTAAATAATAAAAGCATATTTCTATCGTAGTTATATGAGAACTGAATAATATGAGATTATAGTATAGTTAGTTATACGAGAATATCTGAAATAATATTTTCACAAGTATACACATAATGTTTCAATACTTGGGTTTTCAAGGCAGAAAAAGTTATAAAATAATACACATTCAGAAATAAGTGTCAAAAGTAGCTAGTTATCTGATACATATGTAGATCATATGAGCAGGAATGTGATATATTAATACATATATAAAATCGTATAGAAAAGTAATTGCCCTGCGTTTTCGCAATAGACGCACATTACTCGACTTTTTATGCTAATTTAGCAACATAACAGAACAAAATTAGGAATCAGATACTAATCAAATATAAACACACCTTCATCCCGTTTTTCCCCATCTATTTTCCTTTTCTCCTTAGCACCTACTCCCCACATGATACAGTCAAAAGTCGTTAATCCGGACTCGTCGGGACTTCGGCGATTCCGGATTATCGATTTTTCCGGATTATAGATCATAAGTTTAAATCTCATAAGATGGCATGCAGAAATTCTAAAATTAAAAATATGAAACCGTAATTTATGAAATAAAGAACAATTATGATCTAAAGGGTATCAAAATTTACAAAAAGAAAAAGCTTAATATTTATTTGTTTACTTTATTAAACATTTCTTTCAATGTAAGTTGTTTAAGTTTTGCTTCGTTTCATGTGATAATACTTTCTCTTTAATTCTATTAGATATAATTTCTTGTTCAATTACAAAGTTCCGCTGTTCAAGTCCTATAATTGCTATGTCGAGAATACTGACAAATTTGTCAATCGAAATTTTTTCGTTTTCAATAACCTCTGTCACTTTCTTCGCTCTCGGAGGCGAATTATAATGACGAGGAACTTGTTTTAAATCATATCAAAGATGGAGCACATCGAGATGAAATACTACATTTGATAAGGAATTATAAGCCAAATAAAATAAAAACATCTGCTCTGAAGATAAGGATAGTACTGACAATCAACTTCCAATTCATTACGCGCCCCGCCGCGGCGTTCCCCCCGCCGAGCAGTGTGAAATTGATAAACAGATTTCGGATTTCAAAACATACTTTCGCTTTAGATCCTTTACATATTAACAAATATATATCGGAAATTCTATTTGATATAATCGAAAGTTTAAGCTTACTTTTATAAAATTGCTCTTGCTTAAAATTGCTAAAAATAATAAACCGGATCCAATTCGAAAATTAAGGAACAACGCAATCATCAACATTAACTGAAATAGATAATTATTTAGCTTATACGTCCATTATACATAAAACGCGCACGCGAAAACGTATTCTGCACTTGCGCACACTCATATGCGCAGTCGTAAAATGTCTTACGCGCACGCGTAAACGCCTGTGCGCATGTGTCAACGCGGCGCATGCGCAGAAAGTTTTTAGTTTTGAGGTCCGTATTATAGATCATTCCGAATTATGGGTGTCCGAATTAACGACTTTTGACTGTATTTACTTCCGTTGGCATAATGAAATGTCGCCCATATCCTTAAAGGAGCCAAGTTGGCGCAACCAAGGCTGTTCTCTGAACCTTATCCAAGATTTTTACTATCATTTTATTTAATTTCTTAAAAAACAAACATCACACAAAAATTCAATCTAGGAATTTTATCACACATTTCACGCGAAAATCCACCGAATTTTTCATATTGACTCCGTTGTCAGAAAATTATCATAAATCTAAGCGAAAAAGACATCATCAAAATGTTCGAAAACAGGAAAGTAAATCCAAAACAAAACCTTCAATTACTGGCGTAAAAATTGGTCGCCAAAAACACTCTCCGGTAGTAACTAAGGCTCCTATATACATACAATTTTTGTATAGTGACTTCAGATGTGGATAAGTTTTGCGAACACTCGTTTGTTTTCACTGGCTTCGCTGAATTTTGCGATGAATGCATCACATTTATTGCCGAGTCTTCCAAATTTTTCATACTGTTAATGCATCAGCAGTGAATTATTCTCCTCTTTCCTCAAGTACACTACGGCGATAAAACAACTATTCACTAAAGATTTGCTTAAATTTCCACTCATATAATTTAAATTGCGAAAATCTCACAATTAGCACCCAAACACACTAATCAACACCACAATTCTTCCGAAAACGCGCCGTAGTAGTCAAAAGTGGGGTACGCCGTCTTGCCAGGTGAAACTAGTCGATATTTCCGTTACGTCAAAAATTCGAAAAGTGGGGTAGGGTTTGGAAATACTAAGGCTCCTCTAATATATAGGAGCCTTAGGAAATACTCTGGGGCGGTTTAAGGCTCCTATATATTTGGAGGAGCCTTAGGAAATACTCTGGGGCGGTTTAAGGCTCCTATATATTTGGAGGAGCCTTAGTAGTAACTTATTCTGATTGGTTGAATTTGTTCAGTTCCCCGTTGACTGACTGACACAAGTATATGAGAGGAGTTTATCCCTTGTTTTTGTCCTTTTTACTGTTAAAATAAAATTGCCGTTTTTCCATACCCTTCTAGAATTAATTTTCGCCCTGTGGGCAAAAAGACTTAGTATGTGGAAAAGAAGACACATAGTCCTTGCACATAGTCCACTTTGTCTGCGGGCAGAAAGACTGAATGTTTCGATAAAGTGGTTAATATTGGCTGTTTGTTTGCTTTTTGACATTTAAACATTTCTGAATATTGACATTGCCGTCGCTAAATAAATAATTTGGATAAGCATCCCACTCACTCTTGTGTGACTTTTAATCGGAAATATATATATATATTTTAATTATTTATTGCATCCTACCGAATATTTTTTAGAAATAATATGAGTTATAAAAAACAAGTAACTGTTTGTTTATTTAATCGGATTTTGAGATTGCATAGAACTAAAGTTTTTGTAGCGTGCATCTTTTTGTGAAAATTATAGAGTTAGAAATATAAATTATATGTTATGAACTTAATATAAATTATACGTTATGAAAAATCTACTAAGGTCAATTTCAAAGAGCCATAGAGTTCGAAAAATGCTGTTTAAATCCCAGTCCACGAAAGATTATGACATTCTAAAAGATGCTTTATTAAAGATAAAAGAGAAAGGGCTGAAAGAAGGTTTGGATGTAAATGAGATTCAGGCATTAATTGAATCAAAAATTAGCTGTTATACCTCAGGAAAAAAATCTCTGTCTTACTTTAGAATATTTCTGAATCTAAACTTTATTTTGTGTGTGCTAATTGCAATAACTATATCTACTGTGATACTGAATGACAAAGAATTTTCATTAAATCGTTGCATTCTTGAAAATAACTACTTTGTAATGGAAGTAACTAGACCAGTTACAGATTGTAATATATGCAAAGGTGTTACCAGTTTTGTTATATTAGAAAATGTAACTAAAGAAGAATTTGCTAAATATGCCTATCTAGGACACCCTTTATTAGTAAAAGGTGGCTGCTCAAAGTGGAATGCATTAAATGTATTTAATTATAGTTTTTTTAAGGAGCTATATAATTCCACTGAAGGGGCTTACAGAAGTGTTGAAGAGGAATGTCAATTTTTCCCATTTCGTACAAAGTTCTTGAGTCTTCGAGAAGTTTTTAATATGCCTGAAGAAAGAGCATATATGACTTCTCCTGATGCAGAAACATGGTACATTGGCTGGTAAGCATAAATCAATGAAATTCTAAAAAACTTATATTCTTACTCATCACTTGTATTGTGTAGTGTTATTAAGTTTGGAAAAATATTAAAAAAAGAAAGTATTCATGAAGGACTTACTTTGAAAAATATGACATTTCTGTGTAATATCTATTGGGACTTAATAGAATTGCCAGTGTCTAGCAGTGTTAATTATTCAGCTAATGTCAGTATCTTATTTGTCAGCTATTAATACTTAATCCTCTAAGTGGCATGACTTCTCTTATCTGGTTATGGAAATTTTTACCTCTTTTAATACTACTTTATTCCTTTAATATACCTTCCTTACTTTATTCTTTTTTACATATAACTTTATTTCCTTCATTTTCTTTCCTCTTTTTCCTTAACTATCTATATATTACTGTAATGATCTTGAAATTTTGCAAGCAAATGATAATGTAAATAATTTCTATACAATGAATGAATATAAATATAGAAGATCGTACGTAAATCTAAAAGGAGAATAATTCTTAATGTACCAAGTGTACAGGGTATTTGTAAAAGGGGACATACAAATTTTGTTATCTGAAATCTCTATCCTAGTTGTATAACAAATTCTAAAAAAAGAATATGCATATAGTCGAAAAATACTACATGAAATCAAAGTCATTATAAATAAACTAGCAGGCTGCATCCAAAGCAAAATTTATAAGTCCTATATACCCTTGAAAAGCCAATACAGTCAAAAGTCGTTAATCCGGACTCGTCGGGACTTCGGCGATTACGGATTATCGATTTTTCCGGATTATAGATGATCAGTTTAAATCTGGTAAGATGACATGCAGAAATTATAAAATTAAAAATATGAAATCGTAATTTATGAAATAAAGAACAATTATGATCTAAAGGGTATCAAAATTTACAAAAAAAAAAAAAGCTTAATATTTATTTGTTTACTTTATCAAACATTTCAGTTAATCTTTGGATTATGGTAACTTGGTGATTTTTTGGCGAAAATTTGGCGACAAACTCTGCTACAGCAACCCTCTATTTTTCTTTTTTCGCCGCATTTTTGTCTTCACGAAGTAAATACGTGTTTCTTTTCTTTTCATTTACTCAACACTTTTTCCAACAATCTGTTAGCCGAATTACACTTATGCTAGAAATTTTATGGAACAAAACTGCTTAATCATGGTAAATATTAACTGAAAATTGGGATAAAGTGCAGAATCGCAAACTCCTTGCCGCGTTTTTCAGAATTGCACATACACAGTAACCATGTACACGTCGACTTATTTTTACTTAAAAAAACATTCCAGAATAGCACAAAAAATGGCATTGCGCACACTCTTAACTTTATCCATCTACACTGCTATTTTCTCATAAATTACAAAAATTTGCACAAAAATGCAGGAAAATTTTGTGAATCTTTAAACTCGGTAAAAAGCACATATATGAAAATACCTGATCGCGAAAAAGTATATACCCTTTCCAAGGATGAACATTTCCACGTATAATATAAATAAAATATCCAAAAACTTTTACCTAAATTATCTATTATAAACGTCACCAACGAATTTATAACGCAAACATTAAAAATGGTTACAAATACTTAGTGTCAAATATTTAAATTATTTCCATGCACGTTTACTTCCACTGAAACATATACCAAATTGCTACAAACATATAATTCAAAAAAAACTATCATTTAATTAAAATAAATTAACATGTACATGTCAACTATTTTTGCTTAAAAAAAACATCCCAGAATTGCACAAAAATGGCATTGCGCACATCTTCACTATATCCATCCATGTACACTGCTTTTTTCTCATAAATTAGAAAAATTTCCGAAAAATGCATGAAAATTTGTGAATCTTTCAATGTGGTAAAAGGACATATATGAAATTACCTGATCGTGAAAAAGTATAACCCTTTCCAAGGATGAACATTTGCACGTATAAAATAAATAAAATATCCAAAAACTTTACCTCTAAATTATCTATGTATAAACGTCACCAACCAATTTATAAACGCAAACATTAAAAATGGTTGCAAAATACTTAGTGTCAAATATTTAAATTATTTCCATGCACGGTTACTTCCACTGAAACGTATACCAAATTGCTACAAAAATATTCAAAAAAACTAACTATATTTAATCAATAAAAATTAAATTAAAAAACAACTACTTAAAATATAAATAAGCACATACATTAAATTAAAAAAATTAGCTTACAATCCTAATTACTTTAAACTAAATCATTGCTAATAACAATTTTCCAATAATACCATATTAATTCATTTACTCCTTACATTTAGAACAATGCATAAAAATAATATCCTCAAATAATTAAAAATACTAACTTTCCTAATCTTCTTCAGAATCTTGATTACGTGGCGGATAAACTTTTCTTATTTCCTCCGCTAAATAAAAAGCAATCGTATGTGCGCCTGTTTCAGGATTAAAATCATACTGATAGTTCACAGCAAGATGTTGAAAACCTTCATCCTCCAAACAGACATATGACATCCAGCAATCAGATATTATTATTGTACCAGGTAGAATAAATAACTTAATAAAACTTAATAAGCAATCTTTACTTCTATCTCGCACAACCTTAAAAATACACTTATTACTACCCCTTTCAATCCCACTAAATACCCATTTCGAATTCACTTTAGATAGTGCCATGGGATCCAAAAATTAATCAACACTGTTTCACACAACACAGAATAAAGCTAAATACAAAATTTCCAGATTTCCCCCATTTTCCGATTAAAGAACTGTAATTCGTCCATTAATGTCACATGACATATATCATGATCTCTCATTTCCCTCACACAAAATATTGCGTAATCGGAACTGAGTACTTCTCACATTATTCCCAAAGTCCTAGGTAGTAACCTTTATCGCCTACCAAAATGTAGCTAAACTACCTGTTACCATATTCCAAAGATTAGCCAACATTTCTTTCAATGTAAGTTGTTTAAGTTGCTTCGTTTTTTATGTGATAATACATTCTCTTTAATTCTATAAACAGACATAATTTCTTGTTCAGTTACAAAGTTCCGCTGTTCAAGTCAAAATTTTTTTGTTTTCAATAACCTCTGTGTCACTTTCTTCACTATCGGAAGCGAATTATAATGACGAGGAATTTGATTTAAATCATATCAAAGACGGAGTACATTAAGATGAAATACTACATTTAGTAAGGAATTATAAGCCAAATAAAATACAGTCAAAAGTCGTTAATTCGGACACCCATAATCCGGAATGATCTATATAATCCGGACCTCAAAGCTAAAATCTTTCTGCGCATGCGCCACGTTGACGCTTGCGCATAGGCGTTTACGCATGCGCGCAAGACCTTTACGACTGCGCATATGCGTCTGCGCAAGTGCAGAATACAAATGCGTGCGCATTTGATGTATAACGGATGGTATAAGCTAAAATTATCTAATTATCTATTTCAGTTAATGTTGATGATTGTATTGTTCCTTAATCTTCGAATTGGATCCGGCTTATTATCTTTTGCAGATTGTAAGAGCAATTTTATAAAAGTAAGCTTGACTTTTCGATTATGTCAAATAGAATTTCCGATGCTGGAGCTCCCAAAGGATCTAGAAAACGAAAGTATGTTTCGATGTCCATCAAACAAAAAACAAATTGCTACAAAAAATGGATAAAGGCATATCCTTTGTTTATCTAACCGTTCCGAAATCTGTTTATCAATTTCACGCTGCTCTGCGGGGGGGGGGGGGACGTCGCGGCGCGCTACGAACTGGAAGTTGATCTGTCAGAACTATCGTTATCTTCAGGGCAGATGTTTTTATTTTATTCGGCTTATAATTCCTTACTAAATGTAGTATTTAATCTCGATGTGCTCCGTCTTTGATATGATTTAAATCAAATTCCTCATCATTATAAATATCACAAATACAAATCAAATAGTTTTCTGGTTGCAATTTTCTCATTTCGGCTATGCGTAAGCGGCTATGCTCATTATTTTATAAATTACAGTTTCATATTTTTAATTTTATAATTTCTGCATGGCATCTTACCAGATTTAAACTGATGATCTATAATCCGGAAAAAAATCGATAATCCGGAATCGCCGAAGTCCCGACGAGTCCGGATTAAAGACTTTTGACTGTAAAAACATCTGCCCTGAAGATAAGGATAGTGCTGACAGATCAACTTCCACTTCATTGCGCCGCAACGTCCCCCCCCACACACGCAGAGCAGCGCAAAATTGATAAACAGATTTCGGAATGGTTAGATAAACAAATCCCTTATCCTTTATCCATTTTTTGCAGCTTATTCCACTTTTTGTTTAATGGACTTCGAAACCTACTTTCGCTTTGTAGATCCTTCACATATTAGTAAATATATATCAGAAATTCTATTTGACATAATCGAAAGTTCAAGCTTACTTTTATAAAGTTGCTCTAACAGTCTGCAAAAAATAATAAGCCGGATCCAATTCGAAGATTAAGGAACAACACAATCTGCAACATTAACTGAATTAGTTAATTTTAGCTTAGCTTATACCGTCCGTTTTGACGCATGCACAGAAAGTTTGTAGCTTTGAGGTCCGGATTATACGAGGGCTATCCAGAAAGTAGATTACGTTTTGGAATAAAAAAATAAACAAAGTATAGGAAACAAATTTTATTATATTACAGATGAAAGCACCATCAAATACTACTTTTCTAATAGTCACCATACAAATTAAGGCATTTATCGTAGCGATTGTATGAGCTTGGAAATTCCTTCGTCGAAAAATTCGGCCCCCGCTGCGCCTTCAACCACTTCGTTACCTCTTCTTGCCTTCCATCTTGCACAAAACTTGTGGTAACCAAGCTTTTCGCTGATGATTTCGTGCAACAAACTTCGCGAAATTTGTGGAAAACTCAAAGAAAGTTCCGTTATTGTGAAATTTCGATTTTCACGGACTTTAGCATCGACTTTTTCGAGAAGTCGGCAGTCACTATGCTGGGTCTCCCACTTCTTCGTCGTG